TTCTGTCCGAGCTGCTTATACTTCTCTTCCATCACCGGTGCTTGGGCGTTCAGAGCGGCGATATCCATGGGGTCGGTGAAGTTGCCACCCCACTGAATGCCGGTCTGTTCAATTGTCCCGTTGAAGAAGGCGGTGTAGTCCGAACGATTTAAGCACAATATCTCATTCGGACTTCATACTAGAAATTAGTCTATTACGGGGAAAAATCATGGGGACATAGTACTCACACCGTGTCAATGCCGACGCCGCGAGGATCCCAGCTCACAATATCGTAGTTGCCTCCAGTGGTATTTAGAATGTCCGGGGCTGAGAAGGCGAGGTAGGATACACCTGATTCTCCGGGTCCTCCTGTGTAGTTCTGCATGAGACGTAGGTATGCCACGAGGTTGACAAAGACCCAAACGTTACCAGGGTTGACAAACAAGGTACCCTTGCGCTGCCCGGTTGCGTTGACTTTGATCAGCGATAGGCGACCTATGCCAGCAGAGAGGTCTTGGTAGTCGAGAGGAATCTGGAAGAAAGCGCAGTCTACCGGAGCATTGGCGAATACGAAATTTGGGTCGCAAGGTGCCCAGTTGACTTGTGTGACCACTCTTTCCTAAAGCTCAACCGGGTGAGACCACAGAAAACTTCATGCGCATCCATATTACCGTGAGCTTCCCCATGCCCATGCCCGGATAAAGCAGAAAGATGCTCAAAAGCCCGCCTGCACGGACGCGACGCATGATAAAAGAGTAGAAGTGCACGGCGGTGGGGATATCAGCAGAAGGTGAGACGGCGGAGGAAGTTGGTAGGACAAGCCCCTCGACCGCAATATATGTGCCTTCATAAGCAAAGTTGCATCCGTGGTAAAGCTGACTGCTGCTCTCTTCGTATGCCGGTACTTATGGGGCAAAGATTCAAGACACAATCGTGGATGGAATTTCGGGAGTCGGTGAATGGAAGCCGTTCATGAGCGCATCAACTGTCTATATGCCAACGACATGATTGAAAATGCGAGGTTAACGCCGAATGAGTGGAAGGTTGACTCACTCCGCAGACAGAAAAAAATGATGGTAGACATCAGGATCTGCCATTGAATCCCCTTGTGTCTGGACTCTGTATACTCAGATTTCTGTGGGAGGGTTATAGGCCTGAGGAGGCAGCAAGTCATGACTCTGTCCATCAGTCGAGTCCGCCGCACCTTTACTGCTCCCACAGCAACGATCAAATGTCATTCGCAGAAGTCATGAGCTCAACGTCGCATGTTAAGGCCTGTAGTCGATGCAGGTAATCGAAGACCACTCGGAAGATCTGGAGGAGTAAAAGAATTTAGCGCTAAAGCATTGTACCTTCGAAGGTCGCGGACCGCCGCGCCGGAATTGTGGGGCAAACGGTCATCTCAAGCCCGCCCGCAGTCCCGCCAGCTGCGCACCAGCCAGCTTCTGTACCTACTCCGTCCTCTCATCATCGACGTGAACTAATACAACCTGCTTGCTTGGTGACCATTGGCTTGCGAAACCCTTATGACGCCGCCGCCGGCAGGCTCACCGACCCCATGGTCGTACCTATTCATCCGGTATGCGACGAGAGTCAAGCACTGGTACATCGTGGCGGCATGCACTCATGGCGGGGTCCAGATGGTTGTTCAAGTTCGTGCTGAAGATATTCTATGGTACCATAGTGGTGGAGAATGTTGACTATATACCGCCACGAGGCGTCCCATGGTGAGTTCTATCCGTCTCACGGCGTGGCAACCACGTCCCTGACGGACAGACAGTATAGTCTGCGCTAACCACAGCAACTCCCTCACGGACGCATTGTGAGTGCTCCCGTACGTGAAGATCTCCCTCATGCGATTCAACGTCTCCCAACAGACTGCTAGTCACTTCCATTCCATGGCGGGTTCGGAGTTCGGCGCCTTACACGCGTGCAAGCTCTGACTTAACCCTTCACAGAAGCGCAACCTTCTCAGGTTGACTGCAAAATCCACCCAATTTGGGAAGAAGACGTTCACGAGTTGGCTGATCGAGTCTGCGGGAACGGTGCCACTCAAGAGGCGCAAGGACTATGGGGATGGGGAAGTGGACAACTCCGAGGTCATGCAGCATCTCATGGAGGTGAGCCGTTCAGTCTATCTTGTCCTTGTCGAGAACATGTGCCAGCACCTACATTGCAAGTGCGCAAAGTTCTTGTTGTCGTGGCGCAATGGCGACACTGTGACAATCGTTGGCGTACACCAGCACATTCCATTCAGCGCTCTGTTCTCGCAATACTCCAGTGACGTCTCGCAGGTTCTGACTTCGTTAACAGGCATTGGAGCTTGGGGATGCCGTGTGTCTCTTCCCAGAAGGGATGAGTAGGTACCATCCTACCATTGCTCCTCTCAAGACTGGAGGTACGTGTGCTATTGCATTGCCCGAGGCTGACCACTGAACTCTTCTCCTCGCAGTTGCACGGCTCGTCTCGGATGCGCTTTCCCGCAACCGCCACAACCCGGATTTTGAGATTGATGTACTAACCTGTTCGATCACCTACATGTGCGTATCCGACGTTCCTAGTTCTGACGATTGTTCTCATGCGTCTGCAGGCACCGACAGCACTTCCGTTCAGACGTACTTGTCACCTTCCATCCCCCCATGAAATTTACCCCAAAGGTACGATGTTTGATCAGGAACAATCAACTTAATGCTAATGCACTCATAGAACAACCCTGAGCTCCTTACGCCAATCGACTACGGCGAGATTCGATCCTTGACTGCGAAGATGCACCAGCAAATCAGTTCGGGCACGCTGGATGCACCATCGTGGAGGCTCATCCGCATAGCCAAGCTTGCCGCGAGCATGTATGCGCCGCTTGGGACAATCATGTCCTTGGGCGACTACGTCCGTGTCGTTCGTACGTTCCTGGAAGCGTTCAAACTTGCGGAAGCTCCGCGCACCGAAACCTCGAGCGATGGCGAAGCGCCTCCACCTGAACAAGTCGCTCGCGAGGATATGAAGATTGTCCAGCTTGGGCGCGACCTGAAGGTGTGTTGTTACTCTCATTCACGCCGCATGATATTGACATTTTGTTCCAGGATTATCAAGACCAATTGTCGCGTTGGGGAATCAAAGACGACCGCGTGCGCCGCCCTCTCCCTCGCCCGATCATCCTCTACCGAATATGTTTGCGGGCTGCTTGGTCATTCATCCTCCTCGCCATCTCCCTACCGGGCCTCCTCCTCTGGCTCCCTGTCTTTATCACCACGTTCATCGCCGTGCACCAGTTCAAGCGTACAGGTCCCGTTTGGGACACGTACGATGAGATCGCACAGTATAAGCTGACCTACGGGTTGATCTCTGGACTCTGCATCTGGTTCTTCTCCATGCTCGTCACCCTTCCGTTCGCACCACTCACGGCCGTCCTCGTTCCTGCCGCTATGTGGATGAGCCTACGGTGGATGGAGGACGCAGTGTCCGCGTTCCGCGCCCTGACGTCGCTCACGCGGCTCCTCTGGATAGGGAAGCCCGCGCTGCGGCAGATGCGGGACAAGCGGGAGGATCTACACGACCGCATCATGGAGCTCGCTGTGGGCACGCTTGGCCTGCCGGAAGAGCCCGAGAAGTACTTCGCCGAGAGTGGCGGTAGGGAGAAAGGTCGCGTACGCGGGCGGTGGGCGAGCAAGGCCAGGTACTTCTCTGTGCGGAGGCGGAGAAAGCGCGATTGGAATGAGACGCTGCGTCTGTATGATGTGGACTACCCGGACGATGACTACTAAGTACCAAGGACTGACGGATTCCGACTGATATATTTTCAATCTACGTGACGCTGAGGATAGCTAGGTATATGTACGTGTACATAGAGAACTGAGTGGACAGGCATGAGGGTAACACGGGAGATACAACACGATTCAGCGGGATGGATTGCAAATGTCTATCAGTAGACTAGCAGACTCAACCATCGATCGGACGGTATGCACGGTTGCCTGCGGCCCACCGATGACCCTTGTTGGCGGAAATACCGGTGGTAACCACTCCGGCCGTGATGAAGATACCGAGCACCCATGAGATGGTGTTCAATACATAGGCGAGCCCTACATTTAGTCAGCCTTCGTCGAAAAGTACCGCGCCGCGGAACTCACCAGGGCGGGCATGGTTGAACGTAGGGAATGCCTCGGTACGGTACATTTCCGTCACCACAGCAAACGCGGTGATATTCGACAGCACTTCCCAAGGAGTTGAGTCGCACGAGACCGAGAACAGATCTTCTTGACCACTCACCATGCAGCGCAACCAGCACCGACGCCGACTTCCAGATCCGCCTCCTCCGTGAGTGCGTCGTCACGCCGAAGAGGATAGCGAGGCAAGCAACGATCGCGAACCCGATGCCGAGCTCGCCAAAGTAGCCCGCGGTACTCCAGATCATGCAGAATTTCTTGTTGCCCTTGTCGCAGCCATCTACCTCGCGAATAGGGAAGGAACGGCAGTCATATCCAACGTATGTTCGCTTGGAGCCGCTCGGGCTGGGGAGCTGGATGATGGACGTCTCGCAGCGACGGTTGAGGCCATATTCGACGACGACCTTGTCGTGGATGATATCCGAGTCGCTCACGATGAGCCTGGGAGTAGGTCGTGAGCACGTTACCTGCGTTGGAGCGAGGGCCAGGAGACAGACCAGTCGGGGCGCTGGACGGAGAGGATGTTCTGCGCGGGTAGGGTTTCACTGTCATGTTCGCGCGAAGATGGACTCGCTGCCACCACTCACCAGCACCAGCGTCAGAGCGACGGCGAAGAACGCGATCACGTAGGATGACTTTCTCATGGTTGGGAATGGACCTCAGGATAGCAACCGAGGAGGACTGCCTGAATATGTAGTGGGGAGAGGCTGGGAGGCGAGGCCTGCATCCGCGACTCGCAGTATTCGCGCTCGGCCACAGCAAGCGGCATCCGCGTTGTTTGGCCTTGCTGTTGGCCCAGTTGAGCATGACGTAGTATACCCTCTACGCGGTATGTCAATACAAGGAGACTTCTCCGTCAACGTCCTTGTAGATTAGTGGTTAGATCATCACGTTGTGGCTCTCTTGGAGAGCAAGATCGTGAAAACGGAGGCTCGAATCCTCCCTGGGACACTTCCTTTTTCCTTGCCCAAAAAAACTCCGGTAAGACGGCCCGACCGATCAATTTGGCGAAGCACTGCAGCGTGCTCGCAAGTTTTTGCCTTTGATCGACCAAGGCTGCCTGTTCATCGACATCGCTGAGGACAGCTTCCGCGACATCCACAACCATGGCCGACAATGTCGAGTCCGTGCTGTCCAAAATCCGCCCCCACACATCTTCTTCCCTTGCACATCAGAAAGCTCCTGCGACGCTCCTCCGCGCGATCGAGGCCACTTTCCGCGAACAGAACACAGAGCCCTCCCCAACTGCGTACTTCGCCGCGCTCATCACTACGCTTGATGGTGCTCTCCAATCCTCAAGAGCGTCCGGACCTGCCCTTGGGGAGGGCGATGTGCTGCCTGCCGTGCTCTACCTTCTTGCCGCAGTCGCGCCGTATGTCCCTCCTCCGGTGATCCGCTCGCATCTGTCCACCATCCTCTCCTTGACCTCCCCGCTATTCCCCACTCTGTCCGCGCATGCACCACCCTTGCGCTCTCAGCTCACCCTCTATGGCACCGTCTTGACCGTTCTTGAGCGCCCTCAGCTTGATACTCAGGGTCTCCGGCAGGCATTCATGACTATCGTCCAACTTACCCTCGATCCCCGTCCCAAGGTGCGCAGGAAGGCAGCGGAGGTTGTCAAAGATGTCTTGTCGGCCCCCCCGCGCCCCCTTATCAAGCATCCGTATGCGGAGAAGGTTGCGGAGTGGGTGAAGGCTGCGCTTGCTGAAGTCAGTGCGGGTGGTCTCCCGAAGTTCAAGGGCAAGAAGGCGGAGTCGGAGGGATCAGAGGCAGCCATCCATCTCCTCGCATTCTTGCGTCCGGTGCTACCCACGTTACCCGCTGAAGTGAGTGTTCGAGTCTACGTCCGTGGAATTCGCATTCCGTTCCGTCTGCATCTTCCCTGGAGTGGAGGTGCATCGAGCTCTCTTGCACATAGCGAATGTTAGGGACTGCAGTACGATCAGGCTCTTGCACGTTTGCGCTGGCTGACTTTGATTCATACAGTCACTATCCTCAATAATTGCCTCGCTCTTGCTACTCCCGCGTCTCGGGAACCCGTACCTCTCCCAGTCAGCATACTCCCTCCTGTCTGACCTGCTAGCACTCTCAATGGACGATCCTACCGTGAACATCCAGTCTCATATGTCCGATATGCTCAAGGTCGTCCTCTCCTCCCCGCCCCTACGAAGCGATGCTGCCCTCACGGCCGCGTGGGCCGGGGTGCTCGGGAGCACCATGCTCGCGTACCACCAACATAACGCGGACGAGTGTGCAGCGGAGGTCGGAAAGGTCTGGAAGGCAATATGGAACCTAGTCGACTCTCAGGACGCCGCAACGCGCAAGGCCGCGGCAGAGGCCCTGTCCACTCTGGGCCAGTGCTTCACGCCTGCACTCATCACCGCTGCTATCAAGGAAAAGGACTCCGCAGATAAGAAGTCTGTACTGGGCAAGATCATCTCGCAGACCACGGATGCTCTCGATTCCCTCACCTACGCACGGGCCATACCAGACATTTTGTCTGTCGCATCCTCTCTAGTAGGGAATTTGCGCTACCGGGGTGACTCCAGGAAGAACCCTACTGCTGCAGAACAGCTTTTGCAGCCATTGGTGACGAAGATCGCTGGTCTCCGAATCCAGAAGACCTTCGAACATAAGGAGGCAGCTGATGACACACTCGGCAGTGCCATGCGTGTTTTGGGGCCACAAACCCTGCTCCGTTGGCTGCCTCTCAATCTGGAAACTGTTGATAGGTATGTATCACCTTCTCTGGGCCATCGTGAGATAGGAAGCTGACACTGCGCAGGCAGGCAGGTCGTGAGCCTCGCGCGTACCTACTTCCCTTGCTGGGGCAACCTCATCCCTCCCCTCTCGGACACTTCTTGTCTTACTTTGTTCCCCTTACCGAGCGGATGTTCGAGCTCCAGGCAACAGCAGAGGCAGAAGACCGCCAGTCGGAGGCAAAGGTTTGGAGTGTGCTCATTGAGCAGATATGGGTCGGGCTACCGGGGTACTGTTGGGCCCCTGCCGACCTCAAACAGGTGCGCCTAACCTCAATCAAGCTTCAAAAACCCAGACTCACATCGACCCGACCCCCTCCCAGTCCCTGAACACTCAGTTCTCGCAATTGCTCTCGCAGTTGTTGTACAATCAGCCGGAGCTGCGTCCTGCTGTACTCCGTGCACTGAAGGTCATGGTCGACTCCAATGTCGCACTCGCGAGCGAAGACCCTGAGAAGATCGCGAAACTCCCGGAGACCATTCGCGCGGATCCGATCTCAGCGGAAGAAGCGCAGGCCAACGTCGCTTTCCTTCGAACGCAGGCTGAGAGTTGGCTCGCTGTACTCTTCAACGTGTTTGGCAGTGTCGGGCGAGACAACCAGGGTATGGTCGGCGATGTCATCAGCGCATGGATCGCTATCGCGGACGCGAAGGTATGTAGTATCAGTGGAGCAGGTCGGTAACCACTCATCGTCTCTGTAGGAGGTCGCGCAGGCATATCGTAAGCTCGTCACACTGTTCAAGCAGAGCCTCACGAAAGCGCAGTCTGCTACTGCCACGAAGGATCCTGCGTCCAACAGTATGACGGTCGTTACTCAGGATCTGCTGCTGCTCATCCTTCCGTACCTCTCTTCTGACGACGCGACTGCTCTCCTGAACATGTACCTTGTCAGCGATGTCCTTGAGAGTAAGGACAACGGCGTCCAGAAGCGTGGATATAAGACCCTGGCCCGTCTCGTCGAGAGCGGTAAGGTGGAAGTAAATGCGGCCACGGTGCTGAAGAAGTTGGAAGGGCTCGTTGATGGTCTGGCCGCTGCTGCCAAGAAGGACCGCTTCCACTTGTTTGCTGCGCTCGTCCCTGTCATTTCCAAGGATTCACTCCATCTCATCCCGTCCATCATCCCTGAAGCTGTCTTGGGCACCAAGGAGCCATCAGAGAAGGCGCGCAATGCTGCATTTGACCTGATTGTGGCAATGGGAAAGAAGATGACTGAAGGAGGTGTTGTGAAGCGCGATAACATCGAGGGCATGGACGAAGATGGGGCGGGAGAAGGTACGTTCACTGTCGATATCAGGTATTTTCCCCTCTGATCCTGACTTGCCTCAGCCACCGGCAACATTGAGGAGTATCTGACCATGGTTGCGGGTGGGTTGGCAGGTGCATCTCCGCACATGATCAGCGCCACAGTCACCGCTATCTCCCGTCTGGTATTCGAGTTCAGAGGTCCGTCCGCTTCTTCTAACCCATATCCCCGCATCTCATCCGACTGTTTCAGACACCATATCGAGCAACATGCTGTCGGAGATCTTCACGACGCTCCTCGTCTTCCTCACCTCAGCCAACCGCGAGATCGTGAAGTCGGTTCTTGGATTTGTCAAGCTTGCCATCCACACCATGCCCGCAGATCTCATGCGCCCGCACCTCAAGGTGCTCGTGCCGGCGCTGCTGAGGTGGTCACATGACCATAAGAACCACTTCAAGGCCAAGGTCCGCCATATCTTCGAGCGCATGATCAGAAGGTTTGGTTGGGAAGACGTCTATGGCTGCGCCCAGGAAGAGGAAGCACGCAAGGTTCTTCTGAACATCAAGAAGCGCAAGGACAGAGCTAAGCGGAAGCGCGCGAACGCGGTGGAGGAAGACGACGAGGTGCCGAAGGCGAAGGCTGTCACCGGAGATGCCTTCGAGGACGTGCTGTACGGAAGCGAGAGTGAGCTCGACGATAGCGACGACGAGGACGGTCCGTCGCAGAACACCGCCGCGTCAAAACGCAAAGGGAAGGACGCAGGTGCACGGCTACGTGTGGACGACGATGAGCCTATGGACCTGCTTTCTGGCGCTGCATCGCGTGTCACGAGTAAGTGCATTGTGGGGTTTTCTGTAGACCAATGCTGACAAGATGGTTGTTCTAGCTGCGAACGCCGCCAGGCGCAAGAAGCCCGGACAGGATGCTGCCAGGTTCAAGACCGAAGATGACACTGGCAAGATGGTCATTGACGAGTCCGATTCGGACGCGGAAGGTGCTGCTGGCGAAGAAAATGTTGAGGGCGACGCCTACCGGGAGAGCTTAACGTCGGTGGACGGGTTCACGCGCGGTCCCAATGGGAGGGTAAAATTCAACAAGGATACAAAGAAGCGGCGGCGGGAGAACGAGGAAGCAGACATGGACGTCGACATGGCAGATGCGGACGCGCAGAAGGCCAACAAAAAGAGCAAGCGGAAGGCGGAGCCGAAGTTTGGCCAGGAGTTTAAGGCGAAGGTTTGGCACTCTGTTCCCTTCATAGGACTATCGGCTGATCTACCCCTCCGTGCGACCTACAGAAGGCTGGTGGGGACGTCAAAAAGGGCGGCATGGATCCCTATGCCTATATGTCCCTCTCGCAGGCCGCGAAGAAGCAGAACCGGGGCAGCCGGATCGGCATCGCAGGCAAGCGCTGAGCGTTGTATCGTTGCTCTATATCTGTACGCTGTATGTTCTCATAGATCTTGGATTGACTCCATGTTTGGGTGTCCTCGTGAGGGCGACGGCGATGACTCGCCCATGGGATATATAGCGGCCGCCTCAGCCTCAGCCACGGCCGTGTTAGTCTTCCTGTTCCTGGGGTGAGACGCGTGGCTCCGGCGCGCTCTGGGCAGGAGAACTTCCTGATCAGAGAGGGTATAAGAGAGGAGAGCAGGATGGAGTCGCTTCGCTTCACATCTCTTCTTGACATAGCTTTCGTGCCGATTCCACAATGGGCGTGAAGCTCCGGGTAGCTATTTGGTATGTATTGTATTGTCCCGTCAAGTATCAGTCGCTCACAGCTCCGTGCTAACGCTTTGTGCAAGTGGCGGGGGTATCGGAGGCTTAACTTTGGCGGTAGCACTTTCAAGGTACCATGACATTCAGGTGGATGTCTATGAAGCCGCAGGCCAGTTCAAGGAGATTGGGGCAGGGGTCATGATATGGGCCCGGACATGGGAAATCCTCTCTA